TTTTTCCATTTTATCAAGCTAAGTTAATTAAGTTGATTCATTTAAGTTAATTAACATAACTAAGTTAATTAATTTAACTTATTAGCTAAGGTACCGTTTGGCAATTCTTTTTTTGAAAGATTTTCTAAAAGATTTGATAGTCAAAAGACGTAGTGAGCTTTTATATAACAATCTTGATAGACTAAAAATAATTTGGTTGGGGGCACATCTTTCCATATGAAGACGAGACGAAAAAAGGCAAGAATCTCCATTTATATCTTATCGAAATAAGCTTGAATCAAGCTTCTCGTGTCTTTTTGGGGTGTGATCTTTTAGCGGAGAGATCTTCCCCAACCAAACAGAAAAAGGCCGAAAAGCAAGTTGTCGGGCTTCTAAGAAGCTGACAACCCACGTGGAAAGACGTGCCAAATGGGGCCTAAATTTAGCTAAGTGATTTTTTAGTGTTTAGTACATATATATATATATATATATATATATATATATATATATATATACACACACACACACATAGAGAGAGAGAGAGGACTTAAAGAATTAAAAATTAAATTTAGTATGAGGATTTTGAAAACCTAATTACCATGATGGAAAGCTTTGTTACTTCAAGGGTATTCTCTTGCCCATTTATTTTACTTCCAGTTATGGTATTGACTCCATGCAAAACATCATATAAATAGTTTGACAAAAAAAAAATGATTCGAGTGATTTGATTTGATATAGGCACACCACCGGTGATTTAATTTGATAGGGCCACATTAAATTTTGTATTTGGTTACGTTCAAGGGGTAATGATGGAAACATAAAGAAGAGGGTAGGATACAAACCAATCAAGGACTTTAGGGGGTGCTCTTTTTTTGGATTTTGAGAGGGGGAAAGTTGGTCAATGGGATTTTGATTCCCATTGACCAGGAATCCCATGTTCTTTTCTCAGATTTATGTGGGGACTAGGGAAAGTTTATTTTCTTGGGTATCACTTACTCGGTTAAGTGATACCCATCTCCTAGGTGGGTAAATAACTTTCCCACCTGGGGGGGAAATTGTCGACACTTGAATGGGACAAAAATGCCCCTTTTAATAATAGATTTTTATGGCTAAAATGGTCATTGCCTTATTTATGTGGGAAATAAAAGAACATGGGTAAATGCACTTACTCAGGTATTTACCCGGGCAAGTAACTTACCAAAAAGCGAACAGGGCCTTAGAGTATAAGTAGATCCAAATTTATTTCGTTTATTTTCAAAATTGAATAATATGTTAACTAAATGGAATTTGGTTTGCAATGTATAAGTAAGTTAAACATAAAATGATTAAAATATTATACATTATTAACAAAATGAACTAAAAATGATTTTAATGTTGTATTTCATGAACAAAATGAATTGAAAATTACTTATTTGAAACTTAAACCTATGACAATTTAGTAAAAATACAACACTCAAATTAACTAACTTTACTAAATAATAATAATAATAATAATAATAAATATTACATAAATAGTTAATAAAATAATAATAATTCTTAAATAGTAGTTCATCAATAATTATATAATTAGATAATTAAATAATGGGTAAATTACTTAAACCTTCGCTAACATTTGACTTCTGCAAAAACCTCCCTCCGGGTAAACTATAATAATTAATCCCTTCCATTATTTTGACATTAGAAACTCATGGACATTGATGAATTGAAATATGTAGAGTTATAACTGGGTCGGGCCAGTGGCGGCCCACCACGACTGGGGTCGTGCTTGGCACAACACGATCACGATAGTACTCTTCTATGCCAGGGCATGGGAATCCGGGTTGTGCTGGGCCTAGGCTATGGAGGGAAACGAACTCCCAAAGCAGAACCTGGTCAAATGGCCCAGCTTGGCCAAGCCCGACCCATAGGCATGACATGGAACAACACAATCCGGATTTGAGAATTCTTTTTATTAGTTTCAATTTTATTTGAGAATTATTTGTAATCCAATCCAATTGTAATTTTTATCTTCAATTTTATCATTTTATTAATTCAACTTTATTATATTATTTTTTCAATGTATTTTTTATTTTTTATACACATTAAATTTGAAATGAAATAAAATTTTCACAAACTTTCCAACTTATTCTATTACGCGTGTTAATTTTCTGCTATTATATGTTTTTTATTTTTTTCCTAATTTTTCTTATTGAAATTGGAAAAGAAAAAGAAAAGGCCCAACCAGCCATGGCTTGGTTCCTCAGGCCTGATACGACTCAGAATTGGGCCACAGGCCATGCTGGGCCTAACCAGGGAAGGGGACCATGCTGCCTAAGCACGACTTGCCAAGGACTGAGGCCCAACACGACATAGCATGAATGGCGTCCGAGCCACCTTCAATCCATGTCGTGCTAGCACAACATGACCCACATTACAGGTCTAGAAATATGTGATGCTTTGAAAGGTCTAGAAATGCCCAATTTACCAATAAATGCCGAAATTCGATTGTCCATGTTAAGACCAATTAAGTGGTGGCTTAGTTGGTATATAAGTTAGGGAGTCCGCAACTGCTTCTCACAAAGCATGCCTCACATTGGCCTCACAACATGTCTTGGTCACACATCGGGAACATTTCTTGTACTTGTATTTATTATTTATGGGGAGATGTTCCCAATACAGGGTGGGATGTGGGTGTGAGGTCAATGTGGGTAGTCCCAATGGAAATGTGGATCAATTCGAATCGGATCATATTTTTGTCGGATTCGAATAACTCTATCAGATTTTGGATTGAATAATATGATCCGATTAAAAACCGGGTTGACTTTAGATCACCCAATTTCGATTCAATCCAACATATATATAATTTTGTATATTTGATTAGCACAAAATATGGAGACAAATTACAAAAATAAAATTGTAATAAAGAAAATACAAGGGAATTTAACTCTCTTTGATTTTTGTTTGATGACATGAGCAACCTCTGATTAATAGTCGAATTCGGTGAAGATGAGGGTCGTCGGCATATTTCTTATACTTCTTGAAGTGTTGATGTAGATTTCCTTGATTTTGATGCTTTTGGAGATTTGGTGTAGATTTCTTCATTTCGGGCTTCACGCTTGATCGACTGTGAATGATGCTTCTCTAAGAAGGGCCCTTTTGTGGTGAGTTGATCTTCTTGGGAGAGCTTGAATCCAAGTGTGTTGTAGAGAATGGAAAAGTTTTCTTGATCTTGTAGTTGCTGGATTTTGCAAGAGCTTGTGGTTACTTGCAACCTTCAGTGTTAGTGTTTGAGAGCTTCTTGCAATGTGTTTGTGAAAAAGAAGCCCTTTCTCTTCATAGGCAAGACTATTTATAGTCAAGAATTAGGACAGCCACCTCAACCCACTTAGCTAACCAATTCTATGTGAATGGGGTATTGGGTTAGGATTAACTCACATACATGCACCATGATGTAGGAGTTAGTGGTCTTGCCAATGGGACCACTCTATTACAATAAGAGATAGGTGGACTTAATACATTTGGATTAGATCCTTAGATCACCAAAACATATTTATGTAGATTTGGGTCTTGGGCCAAGGAGGGCCATATTAATTCAGAGGTTGTCATGTAAGTTAAGTCCACTTATTTGCTTAAAAATTCATGTCTACAAATATCCCCTAAAGGATGAGGTGATGGAGTTCAATAAAACGTCAATGTTCTCGATGATGTTCAATTTTGATGTTGGATAGTTGGATGCCTACTCCCATTACATTTCACATTGCTTGATTCACATCACAAGCTTTCAGTACAAGTGTTGGGTGTAATTATCAAGCCTGACCAATCTTTGTGAGCTTCTAGTTTGAGAAGCAAGGCTTATAAGAATATGATGCATGTGTCAATACTACAATTGCAATTGCATTTGATTTGATTACAGGAACAATATCTTTCATCAAACTCCCCTTTAACTTGACGAGGCAACGAAGTTGATAACTTCGAATATAGTATCTTGAGATATTCCGCATTCGGAGGGATAGACATGCTCCCAATTGATCCTTAGCCACAATCACGTGGACCCAGGGTGATTATATCCTCGAGGAAGAGGTTATATGAGTGGATCAACTCACAGATGAATGTAGGCCTCGGTTATGACATAGTTAAGAGATAAAAGGACTTCACAAGCTAAGGGAATTAGTTTCCTAGTTAGATGAGGAAACTAGTCTCCATACGATTATGTATATAAGGAGACGTTCTGGATCAGAGACTCCTCTTCTTGGGGAATATAATATTCAATTCTCTTGTTCACCAATTTCAAATCCCGTAACCACTGGGCGAACCAGTAGACTCGGTGATTGTTGCAGTCACGAGGATGCCATTCAATTCTCCTTGCATTCATTCTTGATACGAGTTGGAGTCACTACAAGAAAATCGGTCTAAGCCAGTGGTCGCGACCACCGGTTTTGATCTAAGGTGGCAGTCTTCAGTCCGCCCCCTAAACCTCTATCGGCTTAGGTCAAGACCACTGGGTTAGATGCAAAAGACCGCCACCTTAGGTGGCAAGTTCAAATTTCTCTAACACGGCGGTCACACCGAGCCTCCGGCTTAGCATTAATCAGACAGCGGTTTAGACCATCGCCTTGGATTTCTGTCAAACTCCCTCATGTTCTAAGTGGCAGTCCGAACCGTCGGCTTATATGCTAAATGGCCGCCGCCTTATGTGCTGTTTGTGGCTAAACCGACGGTTTCATGATCGTCGGCTTAGATCTTTTTTTTTTCATTTTTTATTTATACTAGGTTAGTTCTAACATTTTTTGGTCATGTTGATAGCTAAGCCGGCGGACATGACCGCCGTCATATACCTATTTTTTTCAAAAAAAAATGCATATACCCGCTTAATTGCAACATTTTTGTGGTACCTGAATTTTTTTATTGATTTAGCATTTTCATACCTGTTTAATACAGCAAAACCATTTGATAAAAATCAATTTAAAATAAAATCTATTAATTCAAAGATTATATATTAAAATATCCAAAAAACATTGTTCAAATACAATATCCAATTGACATATAAATAGTACAAGAACTTAAAAAATAATCGAATTCACTAATAATGCAACACACCTTCCAATGCAAATCCACTTAACGTATTGGTTGAACCTACAAATCACAACATATAAATATTAGAATGATACTCAAGTATTTTAACTATAAAGATAGGAATAATATAATCTTCCCCAGCTCTTTTCAGCCATGTAAGAAGGGCTGGGGAATAGTATAATATTGAATATTTCTTCAAACCACATGTAATGTAAGAAGGGCAAACAACACCAAAGGTGGGTGGATTCAGTCCTCGCGTAACTGTGGATGCCAACCGTTTCACTGGTGAAAACCATAGAAGAGGCTTATCTCAGCACAAATTTTGCCAACAATGGATATGGTCTCAACAGGATATAAACCCCGCAGTGTCTCTGCACCTAGAAGAATTGCATCACTTCCTGCACCCATTCAAAAGTGAAATAAGTATAAATCTATAGTACCAAATAGCACCTAGACATGTAACTTCACAAATAAATAAATAAAAAAGATGTATGATGGACCATGGAAAAATATGAGGATCTCTCACTTGGGATATGACTTACCATCCAATACGGCATTTGCAACATCAGTAGCCTCAGCACGAGTTGGTCTCAGGTTATCAGTCATACTGTCCACAACTCGAGTAACAACTGCAGGTTTTCCAGCCATGTTGCACTTGTAGACAGCAAATTTTTGAAATAAGAAAACCTGATCACAATTCAGGAAGGATAAGTATCATATCCAGGTTAGTTCCAATTGTTAGCATAGCAAATCACTAATACCAGATGGTTAACCAACAACCAGTGTTCAATGGGTTGGCACATTTTCTAGCCAAACAAGGGGTACATAGGACTCAGCTATGTTGGGCTCAATTGTAATATTGGGATGTTTTGAGGCTGCACCTCGTGCCTCCTTGTGTGGGGTACTCTCAATGTATCTTTTGATTACTCATTAATTAAATCTCTATTACTTACCAAGAGAGAGAGAGAGAGATTGATTGATTGATTGAATAAAGACATTTGCAAAGCGAATCATTCTAAACAATAACTCCTAAAATATTTTATTTTAAAATAGCACAAAGTTCAGAAAGCTGACCTTCTCAGGTGGGACATCAATGCCTAGGTTGCCACGAGAGAGAATAATGCCATCAGCTTCACGTAGGATCTCATCAAAATGGGTTAAGCCCTGCAAGAATCGAAGAAAGGTTGCATTACTCACATTGTCATACAAGCACTACCGTGAAGAAGATGGTCAAAACTACATTAATTTAGAATGTACTAATAATA